GGGGGGGGGGGGGGGAATTAGCGGAGGAGCTGCGGTGGGACCGGGAAGTGGGAGGGACATATGGGGCAGAGGGTTACTCATTCGATTTCGAGAGAAATTTGTCCTGTATTTATAACTAATACAGGTCACAGAGGTAATGCACAAGGTCCTTGAAATACCATGTTCTGATGTGACTTTAAGGTGTGGAGCTTCTTCATTAGAAACTGCCATCTCTTATTCCAGTACAAGCAGAATCCAGAAATGTTCAAACAGACGGCCCGACTCTGGTCTCACGTTTACGCCGGGGCGCCAGTCTCCAGTCCCGAGTACACCCGCAAAATAGACAAGCTGTGTGCAATGGGCTTCGACAAAGTGAGTACGGGAGAAGACCCCTGTCCTGGGAGGAGTGGGTGATGCCACAGATGCTGCTGCTCATTATGATGGTGGAGTGCAGTTAATGTTGCACCATTGTGGACATTGTGGGCAGTACGACGACAGATATATTTTTGTCTAATATTACCGATAACCAGCTAGCTCCGAGATAAACAGATGCGTGTGAACGATGTCGGTGACATTTCACCTTAAGATCCCAGGAATACGTGTAGCGACCACATCGAGTAACACAGGCAGTGTGACCTCAGCAAAGCAGCGCCGACTGTAGCGCAGTTCTAAGTGATGAGCGACCCGACGAAATCTCCCATCCTCCACTACGGAAGATGACTGAATGTCCAATGCAACCACATCCATTTTAAAGTAGTAATAGTATATAGTTGCAGTACTGCTACCTTTGAATATCGATAAAGTGTGAATATTGGCTGGTGTCGTCATCTTGATTTTTAGCGAACATCGCCCCACACCGACACCGTGACAGGTATGCTCTGCACCTCTGTACGAGGCTGTGCTAAGAGGCTGTTCTCCTCGCCCACAGAATGCAGTAATAGTGGCCTTGTCGTCAAAATCCTGGGATGTGGAGACGGCAACGGAGGTCCTGCTCAGCAACTGAGTCTGTGCTCACCATACACACACCAATCCGAAGTCCAGTCTCTTACGTTTTGACCCCCTTTCCCCAGCCCACCTCCATCCATCCATCCATCCATCCTCCC